AAACTGAAATCTTAATGGCAACATTGAGGCAGACTATTTAAGCAGTTACTTTAGGTGAAATGGGGAAACATTTCATATAAGCTATTTTAGACTAAATGTTGCCTTTAATATTTAAGTCCAAAAAAAACATTGACTTACATGAACAACCCTGTATTTTTTTTCATTTAGATATTTAGGCCTGATATTTAAAATTCCCTGGTCAGTTGTGCTCAGTTCACAGTTAAGTGACTAAACCTTTATGTGTAGGAAAATAGGCAGGGAGATGGATGATTGTATTTGTGGGATTCCTCACAGTATATAATAAATGCAATTTTTTTTATGTTTTGATTTTTGGGGGAAACTTTTATCTCATGCCTCCATGAAACAAAACAATCCATCGCTTAATTAATTTAATTCTACCATCAGAAAATAGTTGATGCTCACAGGTCGGGGATCTGTGGCATGTCCTCCTTAATAGTGATTGGGCAGTAGCTAGTCTTTTATTACAGAAAACATCCACTAGCCACTTACTGTTTAGCAGACTTGCCCCCTGCCATCGCCGTGTTTAAAACTTTCCTTTTACTAATATGGAGTCATAATAAACCACATAGGTTTTTTTTAAACTATTTGCTTACTGATTGATATTGCTGCCAGTGGGCAAATACTATTTATCAACAGCTTTTATCAACAGCTTTTAGCTATCGAATCTGATAAGTCCTTTTAACAGTCGCAATGTGATCATTAAATGAAATTGAATCGCCGAAGCCTATATTTTCAGTGAAAATATAATCTTCAGATTCGTTACCCAAAACATTGTTTATTGTCTTCTGTTAAGCCTTTAATAGTGGGAATGAAATAGATCTGAAATGATAAAATGTTTATCAGGAGCCGATAATCTGCTGATAAAACATAACGATAGGGATTAAATCAAGGCTTTAGTAAGATGAGAAATAACTTTTAACATAATACTAATAATATTAATAAGAATGGTTTATTTTATATAATACATTTAGCTTGGAATCATGCAGCTAGCTAAGAGACTCTGAAATAAATCAAAATTTATACTGGCAGATGCTCTATGTGTATTCAGGACATATATCCGGCCAGGATAAAGCTTTCATTTTGTATCAAGTTAGCTTCATTTGTTTTCCAGGTAAGATGGCAATTTGATAAAGAAAAATAAAACATGTTATTGCCACTGAGTTGATTCCTTTTTTTTATTATTATTATTTTATCACTATGTTTTTTCTGACTATTCACATTAACAATAGAGAAAGTCCTTTTTAGCTGATGAAAGATGCGTGAAATATAGATCTCATAATGGAATTTGTTTTACAAGAATTTGTCTTCGTGAACCTTTGTTTTTAATGTATGAAATGTTTTTGGATTTTCAGCCAGACATTTAAAGCACATGATTGTCTTCAGAGAGGCAGTATGACATGAAGCAAATTAAATTAAAACATACAATGAGGTTGTATCACATTGATATGCTTGTTCGACCTGGGAAGTGAATGTGGTGGAATAAGGAAGGATGGACAGTGTAAAAGAGATAAAGGTGCTATGTGAAGAAATATTTTATATGGCATATTTGTCCAGTCAAAATAGCAAGGTTGCAGGAAATAATTGTGATTTTTACAGAAAAATTAGCTTCTTTAAATGTGGTTGTGTGTCTGAGCATATTCAACAAAGTGAAGCATCATTAATTTGCACTGCCTGCATCTCAAAGACTTAATGTGTTGCTACAAAAGTGCAAAAGGTTAGTTGGATCACATACCACCATATTAGATGTTTTCTCCTGCACTTTCATCTGCAAATCAGGAAGGTCCAAATATGATTAAAAATATTGAAAATAAATATTTAACCCCTTAAGGACCAAACTTCTGGAATAAAAGGGAATCATGACATGTCACACATGTCATGTGTCCTTAAGGGGTTAAAGCATAAAATGAATAAACATTAATGCATGTCACCAAACAGAACAGGCTTTTTAAAGGGACACTATAGTCACCTGAACAACTTAAGCGTAATGAAGCAGTTTTGGTGTATAGAACATGCCCCTTAAGCCTCACTGCTCAATCCTCTGCCATTTGGGAGTTAAATCCCTTTGTTTATGAATCCTAGTCACACCTCCCTGCATGTGACTTGCACAGCCTTCCATAAACACTTCCTGTAAAGAGAGCCCTATTTAGGCTTTCTTTATTGCAAGTTCTGTTTAATTAAGATTTTCTTATCCCCTGCTATGTTAATAGCTTGCTAGACCCTGCAAGAGCCTCCTGTATGTGATTAAAGTTCAATTTAGAGATTGAGATACAATTATTTAAGGTAAATTACATCTGTTTGAAAGTGAAACCAGTTTTTTTTTTCATGCAGGCTCTGTCAATCATAGCCAGGGGAGGTGTGGCTAGGGCTGCATAAACAGAAACAAAGTGATTTAACTCCTAAATGACAGTGAATTGAGCAGTAAAATTGCAGGTGAATTATCTATACACAAAAGCTGCTTTATTTAGCTAAAGTAATTTCGGTGACTATAGTGTTCCTTTAAAGTGATATTTTGTTAGGATTACTAATTAATCCAGCACATAGAATTGTGTCACATCTAGGACTAAAAGGTAACTATTACCAGGCCTTAGAATGGTTGGACTTAAAGCACCAAAGAATAGTCAGGATAATAGCCGAGGTCGGGTGGACAGAATGAGACACAAAGATAAGGGAAAGCCAGAAGTCAGGGATACCAGATACCAGAATGGGAAGTTCAAAAGGAAGCCAAAGTCAAATACCATAAATAAAACGCTCAGGAACACACTCTTGGACAACCACAAGGGAAACCACGACAGGGCAATGAGGAAAAGTAATTTTGAGCTTAAATAAGTGCTTTAACTCCAAAACGTGCGCTCACGTCTCCCGCGTGACGTCACACTCACGCCATCATCGTCATTAACGTGGGTGGACGTGGGGGTATAATTTGGCGTGGAACCGCAATGGCCAGCATCCATTAACATGTTGCAAGAGTCATTTGTACAGATGCATGGCCGCTGGATGCAAATATCGCAAGGTGAGGAGGAATATGTTACATTACCCCCCACCTGAAGACAGCCCACCGGGTGGGCAGGACCAGGCTTGAGAGGAAATTTGTCATGAAAAGAACGACTTTTGCGGCCAGCATGGATGTCAGAGGCCGGAACCCAAGAACATTCAGCAGGCCCATACCCCCTCCAATCAACCAAATACTGTGAGGTGTGTAACGGATCGCCTGGCACCCCGACTGGGTACCTCCGTTAAAGGATGCTCCTAGCGCTTCCTGAGGACTCCAAGCACTGCAGCAGACACCACAACCACCGAACCGGAGAAGCATATGAATCCTCCCAAGCATATGAATGCTGTAGACAGTTGAATAGGAACCATACGAATAGGTTTACTCTCCTAGCAGTCAAACTGGAACAGCATACAATAAATCCTTCCCCCAATAATGAGACGACACTTCACTTTGAGGGTTAAAACAGGAACTCCCTGTACTGTCACATACAGTCTCTTTTATTCCCAATCCACAAACATAATACAGCCCACAGGGTGTTACAAAACAACCAATCAATCCGTACAATACACCCAGACACTCCCACACAAAATCCTCCCCTCTGCAGGTGATATGATTACTGAACACAATGGGTAATCTCATTATCACCGGCAGAGGAATACAGTTTTTACACAATATTTATAACTTCTAAAATATACATGTCACAAACATAAAACATACATTTTCATAATCAATCCATTCAGGGGAACAACATATTAAAAATGGCACGAATCAGACCAGGGGTTCAAAAGTTAAGGGAAAGTCCTTTGTGACTAAATGAAGCATGGCTTTCTGGCCCAAACCAGTTTCAGAGTCTTCTATCCTGGAGATAAGTAATTCAATTATCTCCCAGGACAGACACAAGACTCCATTAAGCACATGGTTGCAAAAGACACAAAACACTTTAAAATACATAAAGTCACATTTACACATAACACACAGACATTTCACATATCCCCAGATAGCTGGGATCTGAGTGCACATTATTAGATGAATGGCACTCAGATCACACAAATAAGCCTTTCTGCAGGGGAAATAAACGGTTTAACCTGCAGGGCCATAGTCCAAAGGGAGCAGGCGAGCAACCAGGCTTCTCCAGTTCGCAGTGGTGAGGTTGGTTTCGCCACAAGGTGCCATGAGAAAACCTGGAATCAATTATGGAGGAGACCTCATACTCCTCCTGTCCAGAAACAACCAATGGAGGAGGGGGGATACTTGGGACAGTATATCTATTACAAACAAGTGGTTTGAGCAAGGAGACGTGAAAGGTGTTGAGGATATGCAAAGAGGCAGGAAGTGCCAGAGAATAAAACAAGATTAATTCTCCTAATGATACGGAACGGACCAAGGAACCTGGGAGCAAACTTCATGCTAGGAACTTTCAGCTTAACGTTGCGCAATGATAACCACACCCTCTCACCTATTTGGTAAACAGGGTTGGCACATCGCCGTTTATCAACATAATACTTGAAACAATCAGCCACAGTTTCCAGAGTGGAGTGAACCTTGGTCCCGTCTCACGGATAGAAGCTAGGTGATCATCCAGAGCAGGTGCAGCCGTGTCAGAGAAAACAGCAGATAGTAAAGTAGGATGATGACCGTTATTAATGAAAAAAGGACTATGACCAGAAGAGTCATGATTAGCATTATTTTTAGCAAACTTGGCCCAGGGAAGTAATTCGGACCAATTATCTTGAGTGCCATTAACAAAACAACACAAATATAATTCCAGAGACTGGTTAGCCCTCTCAGCCATGCCATTGGTCTGGGGTTGGTAAGAGGAAGAAAATGACAATTCAATACCCAAATGTTTATTGAAAGCCCTCCAAAACCGAGACACAAACTGAGAAACTCTGTCAGAGACAATATTGTGAGGGATGCCATGTAATCGGAAAATTTCACGTATAAAAATAAGAACTAAGGGAGGGGGTGTGGCTAGCAGCCGGACTGAATGGCCGCACATTGATTCAGCTCCAAGCTTCCCGGGCAGAAATCAACAATATCGGAAGAATTATACCACTATGGGGAATCCCAAACGGCAGCAAAATGCTCACACGCACCTGGGGAAGACACCCCTGCAAACCGCAAACCGGGATCGGTAACCTGCATCTTCAAAGAATATGCCGACCGCGTGTCAGACCATGGGGAATCCAATATGGTGCCGGCGGCGGCCCACACGGATTCAGATCCGCCAAGCCCCACTGCCTCTGAGAGCTCCATGAATTCCACACACATCGACATTAAGGAAATCCTGAGGAACCTATCATCCAGGTCAGGCTTAGCACAAATGCTAGGGAAGCTGGAAACTACGTTCCAACATAAAATGGAGGGCCTCAGCTCCGAGATCAAACAGGTAGGCCAAAGGGTGCAAGATCTAGAGCAGTGATGGCAAACCTTTTTGAGCCCGAGTGCCCAAATAGCAATACATGCCAACTTTTTTTCCCCTCAAAGTGCCAACACGGCAATTAAACCTGAATACTGAGGTTTAAGTTTAGAAAAAACAACTCATCCAGTTGTCCGAACTAATTAACAGCTTTTGTTTTAAAAGAACTGAACTGCTGAATACATACACACAGTCTGCTGAATACACACACACAAGACTGATGAATACAGAGACTGATGAATACACACACACACACAGTCTGCTGAATACACATACATACAGACTGCTGAATACACACACACAGGCTGCTGAATACATACACACACACAGTCCGCTGAATACACACACACACACAGTCTGCTGAATACACACAGACAGTCCACTGAATACACACACACACACACACACACACACACACAGACTGCTGAATACACACACACACACATACTGCATTGAGGGGTGCAGTGTATGTGTTTGTGTGTGGGGTGCTGTGTGTGTGGTGCTGTGTGTGTGGGGTGCTGTGTGTGGGGGGGGGTGTGGTGTGTCTGAGGGTTGCTGTGTGTGTGTGAAGGGTGCTGTGTGTGTGTGAGAGGGGTACTGTGCTGTGTGTGGAGTAGAGGTGCTGTGTGTGGTAGGGGTAGGGGTGCTGTGTGTGGGGGGTAGGGGTGCTGGGTGTGGGGGAAGGGATGCTGGGTGTGGGGTAGGAGTACTGTGTGTGTGGGGGACAGGTGTGCTGTGTGGTAGTAGGGGTACTGTGGGGGTAGGGGTGCTGTGTGTGGGGGGTAGGGTACTGTGTGAGGATTAGGGGTACTGTGTGGGGATAGGGGTACTGTGTGTGGAGGGTAGGGGTGCTGTGGGGGTAGGGATACTGTGTGTGTGAGGGTTAGGGGTACTGTGTGGGGGGTAGGGGTGATGTGTGGGGTAGGGGTGCTGTGTGGGGGTTAGGGGTACTGTGTGGGGGTTAGGGGTACTGTGTGGGGGGTAGGGGTACTGTGTGTGTGGGGGTAGGGGTGCTTTGTGGGGGAAGGGGTACTTTGTGGGGGGGTAAAGGTGTTTTAAAAAAAAAAGTATGCTACATCAGTATCCCCCCTCCCTCCTTCTTACCTTTAATGAAGGAGGGGGGGCACAGTCATCCCTGGAAGTCCAGTGGTGGCAAATTCTGTAGGGAGCAGCTCCCCTGTCCTCCTGCGCGATGCTGTGTGGAGCATTGCCATGGTAACGCGCGCCAACGCTCCACACAGCTTGCTCGCAGGAGGACAGGGGATCTGCTTCACAGATCCCTCCCCCTGCCCCCCGACACGGAAGCAGAGTAGGCACCTGCCATTTTGGGCAGGCAGGTGCCTACTCTGCATTGATGGCTAACCTATGGCCGCATGCCGACAGAGAGGGCACGGCGTGCCACCTGTGGCACGCGTGCCATAGGTTCACCATCACTGACCTAGAGGATGAAAGGGGCTCATACCAGACCCAGATACAGGACCTAGCCTCCAAAGTTAACACCCATGACAGGCACCTGTCCATGATACAAAGATCATTAGACGACATAGACAATGGAGGGCGGAGGAATAAGCTCCGCAAAAGAGGGCTACCTGAGGCAGATAATTAAAACCTACCTAATCAACTGACTACCCTTTTCAACTTGATTCTGAGCCGCCCACCGGACACACCGGTAACCCTCGATAGGGCACACAGATAGCTGAGATCTAAAAATGGTACAGGTGAAACACCATGTGACGTCATCTGTAGCATCCACTACTTCTCACTCAAAGAAGAAATCTTGTGAAAACTGAGGGATATCACCTCCCCTCTACTTTTCCACGGCCAAGAAATCCAAATCTATCCAGACCTCTCCTGGCTCAGCCTCCAAGCGAGAAGAGCCCTGAGACCTATTACAGATCAGTTGAGAAGAAGAAATATTCGCTACAGGTGGGGATTCCCGTTCGCTCTAATTGTGAACGTCAGAGGATCCACGTTCACAATATCCACGCACCAAGATATAGCACCATTCACTAGGGCACTAAACCTGAATGACTCTCTCATCATGGATTGGTATGCTCCTGACCCAGCAGCATCTCCTACTACACATCCACAAGGCCAAAGATGGCGTTCACCGATGAAGAAACAGAGAACCGGACAACCAGGCCTCCCACAACGAGAAGAGAGGCGATCAAGAGGTGCTGTGGAGGACTAAACTACGTACACATATTGTTCCCAGGTGGTCACCCTGCACCCCACAACCCCAAAGGAGACTTATCCCTGTTATGTACCATCATCCACTCACAACGCCGCAGAAACACAGACAAACTCACACCGGAATATATACCTTCTGGCAGGCCTAAGCCCACAGGAAAATGCCAGGCCTTTGCATGCAGCCCATCCGAGACTGTCATACCACTGTCGCCACAAGCTGCTTGCCTAATGCCAAGAGGACCCCACATGGTCTCTCATCTCCAGGTCGTATGATTATCTATATCTATGTATAAGTACCTGTGTACCACAACCACACATGTCACATAACAAAGAGGGTAGTTACCAACGACAGATCGACAGAAGGGAATGTTACAAGTGAGACCATAAAGACATGATGTACAGGGTTTCAAGAAAGATCCACAAATAGAGTAGGAAATAAAAAATAAATAAAAAATAATAATAATAAGTAAATATGCACAATACCCCTCCTGACTGTGTCAAATACCCCCTCCACCAATCTGGGACCAGGACATGTACCTCTAACCGCTACCTCCCCCATACATTTAACCATGACATCCTCCTCCACTAAGCTACATCCTCCTCCCGTAAACTCCACCCGGGTACCTAATAATTGACCTTGACTTAATACTGGAGAAAACAGTATCAGTGAGTCAAAGAAAAGAGTATAGGGGGGTGCAAAGAAAATATACAATATGTTGCTGTATACTTAGTATAGTGAGTGGAACACCTCCTGATCTTCCTACAATAGAAACATATACATAGTATAATACTGTTACACAAGGAAAAAATTATCAATTTGAAGTTATTGGGTCACTCACAATATGCAGAGCCACATGAAGCTGGCTCTGACTTCAATGGAAGATGAATAATAAGCTTATTCTGGCTTTCGAATTCCTAGACAGGATAGCTCCTTTTCAGCCCTTCAATAACTTCCAAGATATAAACTTTACTGAATATAAAATAACACAGGAAACAGAAATAAGCTTAAAATAACATAAAATGAAAAGTCCACAACACTAACGCGTTTCGACCTCCAGGTCTTTATCAAAGTGTGTGGAATTTAAAAATTAACTTTTTTCTTGTTTCCTTGTCTCCCGCAGATATGCTATGTCTATATTATATACATTGTATTATTTTATTTAAATTTGAGAAAGCCTCATTTTGCAGCTAAAATTATCAATTTAAGTTCCTATTATAAGTGGATTTCACTTTAAGGGGACCCTCCTCCTTATATTATAGATGTTTATTTGAGAGAATGTTCTCTTGCTATATTTTGTAATATTTTGCTTGTTTATTGTTTCTTCTAATATTATAAAAAACAACATTAAATTTGGGTATTATATATATTAATGTATTATTTTATTTGAAGCTCATTTGTATGTTGCCGGGCTTTTCCCACTTTAAATATGGCGAAATTGTTAGTGCTAGTAATGTTTAGGGATTCTAAAAGAGAAGACCGAGAACCCGGAAGTGACATCAATATGCACGCCATCGGAATCAGGTGATCGGACAGAGAATCACATGACGCGGAAGTTCGGCAGATCCGGAAGTGATGACGGACGCCGGTAAACGGCGCCAAACTGGACACCTGATATACTATTTAAAGAAAGGAAGACCAGCATTCACCACACACTTTGATAAAGACCTGGAGGTCGAAACACGTTAGTGTTGTGGACTTTTCATTTTATGTTATTTTAAGCTTATTTCTGTTTCCTGTGTTATTGTATATCCAGTAAAGTTTATATTTGTTTTCAATATATTGGATATCCTGGAAGTTATTGAAGGGCTGAAAAGGAGCTATCCTGTCTAGGAATTCGAAAGCCAGAATAAGCTTATTATTCATCTGCCACTGAAGTCAGAGCCTACATCATGTGGCTCTGCATATTGTGAGTGACCCAATACCTTCAAATTGATAAATTTATTCCTTGTGTAACAGTATTATACAATGTATACGTTTCTATTGTAGGAAGATAAGGAGGTGTTCCACTCACTATACTAAGTATACAGCAAAATATTGTATATTTTCTTTGCACCCCCCTATACTCTTTTCTTTCACTTTATATCTGAGTGCCATTTAGTGATTTTAGGCACTGGGGGTAGTTGCCTATTCTTTGGTGTTAAGCGCCAATCCACCATTTTTCTGTTGTGTTTGTACTTTAGTATCAGTGAGTTGCCAACCAACCCAGAACCGGATGACTTAGTCCTATAGCAAAACAGACTCACCTTCAAACAAGCCCACACCCTCCTCCCCCCCTCGCTACCAACGGTGTCATTCATATTAGCCTGCTGCAGACTCAGGGACATCTCAGGGGCAGACACCAGTTCATTTAGTTGCGCAAATGTAACTATCACCAAACACTAAAAGATTTTATCTACCAGTTCAGAGCTAGAACCGGCCGATTGTAATTAGTTCATTGATGATGGACAAAAATTGAACTTGTATTCATCACATTGTTGTTTTATTCAAAGTTTATATATTCGGATTACTTTGCCTATTAAAACTGTCTATAACTTGCATACTGTGTATTGAATTACAGGGGATACGAGAACAACTGGTTTAGATCAGAGGTTGACCTAAAACACTCCCCCCCATCCCAGCCCATACAGGGTAATGGCTACTATATCCGTCATATCACACAATGCCAGGGACCTGAATACCTCGGAAAAACGACACATGAGGCTTACAGACTATCACAGACGCAAAGCCGACGTGGTATTTATACAAGAAACACACTTCCGCAAGGACTCCGCTCCCGCACTCAGGTCCAGATTTTTCACCAAAGGCTACTTTAGTAATTACACTGGTTTGAAATCTAGAGGGGTGGCAATCCTCCTTTCCCCCCACCTCCCATTTACATACAAAGACTACTGAACAGACAACAGTGGCAGATTTATATTCCTTAAAGGACAGATAGGGAACACACCCACCACTTTAGCCAACATCTATCTCCCCAATAGGAAACAAACTCCCACCCTACGCAAAGTACTAAGTAAACTAGAAACCTTCACGGAGGGTCCCTTGATACTGGGAGGGGACTTAAATATCTCCCTGGATGGGGCGCTAGATACCACCTCCCAGGCCCAAACATATCAAGCTTTGACAAGAAACTGTATCTAGAAACTCTTAGACTCATACCAATTATATGACTACTGGCGAATCTCCTATCCAACACAACGAGACTACTCATATTACTCCCACTCCTCCGGTTTATATTCCAGAATCGATATGCTTTTAATCCCACATAGATTTTTAAACCTCATAACAGCCTGTGACTATGCCACAATAACCTGGTTAGACCACGCCCCACTATCTACGACCATAACTATCCCAACTTTACACCCCACCAGAACACAATGAAAGATAAACACACCCTACATACCATCACAAATTAAGGAAGGGCTAATCCAATATTTCAAAATTAAACACAAGCCCAGAATCTCCACACCCGGTTATATGGGAAGCCCGTAAAAGTACCATCAGGGGAACAATCATCCAAATCGCGTCCAAACACAAAAAACAGCGGTAAGTTGAATCCACTTACCTAATCAAAGAAATCAGATCCTTGGAAGAAACACATAAACGGGATGCTACCCTGCCATTATATAAACAGATACTAGAGAAAAGAACGGAACTTAATAACATACTAAACATACGCACAAAGCACGCACTAACTAGAACAAGAGGCCTATATTATGCCCAGGGGGGAAAGAGCTGATAATGACTGATATCTCAAAAGCCTTCCAAGACTACTATTCTTCCCTGTACAAACTCAGACAAACCCCCCACTGGCACAAGACATACAGTCTTTCCTCGAGAACAGAATACGGACTGCCCTACCAAACAACCTGAAAGACTCCCTGGAACACCCCATCTTAATAGAAGAATGTCTAGATGGAATTAAACACCTGCCACTGGGGAAAAACCCTGCAAAATATTACACGACCCTCGCACCTCACTTCCTAAAGTCCTTTAACTCCCTACTACAAACCAACACCCTTCCATCAAAAGCCCTAAACGCACCGATTACTTTAATACCAAAACCGGGCAAAGACCTAACTCAATGCGGTAGTTAAAGGCCGACTTCACTAATAAATATCGACCTTAAACTCTTCACAAAAGTATTGGCTAACAGGCTTCGCCCGCTTCTCCAGGTGTTGGTACGCGCAGACCAATCCGGCTTCATACCAGGCAGGGAAGACAAACTTAACACCACCAGGATTCTAAACCTCATACACTATGCTACACGCTCCAGGGGCCCCAGTCTGCTCCTGTCAATAGATGCCAAAAAGGCCTTCGACAGGGTAGACTGGACCTTAATGTTGCAAACATTACAAAATCTGGGATTTGGACCCAATTAGCAAAAATGAATTGGAGCAATATACTCACACCCCAAGCCCAACATTTGAATCAATGGACAACTTTCAGGTCAAATACCAATATCGAACGGCACCAGGCAGGGCTGCCCCCTCTCCCCACTCCTCTTTGTCCTAGTCCTAGAACCATTTCTACAGGGGATTCGGGACAACACCAACATCAAGGGTATCCAGGTAGGAAACAAGGAACATTAGATAGCTGCATTTGCAGAAGATATGCTTTTTTCACTCTCGAACCCAGTGACCTCGATACCACACCTAATGTCAGAGATGAACACATATAGCGAACTCTCTAACTTTAAGGCAAACCTCAGTAAGTGTGAGATCCTCCCAATACACACTCCAGTGCAAGATAAAGCCACATTACAACACGACCACCAGGTCGCCTGGGCCGAAAACCGCATAAAATACTTAGGAATCCACATTATTAGAGATCTACACCAATTATTTGAGATAACTTCCCTGACCTGCTGAAAGCCATAAACACAGACCACACAGCCTGGAACAAGCCACAGTTTGGATGGTTTTGCAGGATAAATATCCTAAAGATGAACATTCTACTCAGACTCCTGTACATGCTACAGGTGCTCCCCATAACACTCCGAAAGACCTGGTTCAATACAGTCCGTAAGACACTCATGACTTACATCTGAGCTCATAAAAACCCAAGACTATCTTATACACTTCTCACAAGACTGAAGGACGAGGGAGGCCTGGGATTACCAGACATTGAAAATTACCACAAAGCAATTCTCTTAACTAGAATCTATGAATGGTCATACCCACACTCTACAAAGCAATGGATACAACTCGAAAACGCTTTCTTTCGGGTGCCCATCTATATGATACCCTGGCACAAATCGGGACAAACGCTATTGCTCCATAACCCTCACCCCACTATCACCCCCACACTACACATGTGGGCAACACTACGTACACATGAACAAATATCTCCGTACCCATCCCCACTATATCAGATCACGCACAACCTCCTATTTCAACCTGGGGACGATGACAAGACATTCAAGCTCTTCCACAAGTCAGCATATCTCACATTGGGGAACACAGTGGAAGGCACAGGGACACAACACATCAAACCCCTACACACCCTCATACAATCGCAAACGTCAATCCAACAATTCCAGTACCGCCAGCTCACACACTTCATTCAATCAGGTCCACTAGCTTACAGCACCAACCGTGCCCAAACAGTTTTCGAACAATACTGCTCTAACCAGTCCATAAAGAAAAAACTCATTTCGATGATGTATGCCATAATCCTATCAACACGACCACATTCCCTACCAGCCTTCACCACAACATGGGAAAAGGAATTAAACATAGAAATTTCACTAGATAAATGGCGAAAAAAATATTCAGTCAAATCTACAAATCCTCAAAAAACACGAGAGCCCAAGAAAGTCGCCATAAAAGAATGAGATGGCACTACCAACCATCAAAACTACATTCTCTCTTTCACACACTCTCAAACCAATACTGGAGATGCTACAAACCCAACGGCACGGCGACACACATTTGGTGATCGTGACAGAGATACAAAAATTCTGGACACGCGTCTCAGGCCTGATCCACACCATACTAGGGATAAACATCCCTCTCAACCCAGATAATTATCTGTACCTCCTACCTCCACTAGCCACGCCAAAATACACCTCAGCCTTACTGCTACACCTTATCACAGCGGCAAACCAGCTCATCCCAGCCCTATGGAAACAACCACATCCCCCTACTAGCCGCAAAGGGTGGAAAACACCAAGGGTCTGGAAGAGACTTGCTACTACCTCACAAATCAATACCATCTCTACACAGCAACCTGGCACCCACAGACCCAATACCTCCACGACCTAACAACGTGAGCTGAAATGCCCCCTCCCCTCCACCCCCCCGGCTAACACAACCACCAGTCGCCCCCTCCCTCAAAATACCTCACAGAACTCAATCAATTATAGTAAAATCTTCTACTCTTTACCTGCCCAAGACTAAGCAAAACACCACACAACGAGATATAATGAGGGGTACTGTGATTAGTAAGGGGCAATTCATTTGTATGTTTCTTTGTATGCCTATAAGATGGATGTATGCTCAATTGTAAAGTCACTTAATGCCATTTGCAACTACCAACTTGAACTACCAATTTTAATGGGTAAGGTTTCATAGGTAATTAAGGGTTGAGAGAGTGGTCTCCCATCAATAGCCTCAATGGCCAAGGGTGATAGTCTCTCCTTGATAGGCATAGTATTTTAATTTTACAAAAAGTACATCAATGAAGTTTCCTGCCGCACCTGAGTCCATCAGGGCCTTGCATGAAAAGTTCTTCTTGTTACATTTAATCGTAATATCGAGGAGGAATCTATTTTTGTTATTCCCAGAGGATGTAGGCATAAGGCTATCCTAACTATAAGATAAGGCTAGGGACTAATGAAAGTTTTTAGAAAATTGGGCAGACTAGATGGGCCGAGTGGTTCTTATCTGCCGTCACATTCTATGTTTCTATGTTTCTATTACACCTAAGACCTGTCCCCTTAAGGTTCTTAGGTGCGGAAGTTTTCCAGACGTATGGGACAAGCACTCCTCATATGTTCTCTTCTACCGCAGTATAGACATAGGCCCTCCTATATTGTCTTTCTGCTGCTGACAGTCTAGTGACCCCTAACTGCATGAGTTCGGGTTTTGGACTGAACAGGAGGATCAGGAACAATGAGTCTGGAAAAACAAGGTGCTAGTGACATAGCCATACGTCTAGTTCTATTTATGGTAGTTTCTCTAGTTCTTAATCTATTATCAATGACAAATGTTATAAATTCATTCAATTTTTTAAGTAGAGATTGTAGCCGTATTAGTCCAGTGATGTAGATGTAAAAAAAAAAATACAATTTGTGTCTTGTAATACCTTTTCTATTGGACTAACATAAGTTTTTTAATGACAAGCTTTAGGGAGAACCTCCCTTTCTCAAGTCAAGCATTTCTGAGCAAGACGACACATAGAATTCCTGGTAGTTGTGTGCGATACTCCCTATTACTCTCCCATAATGGATTGGCCCAAGCTAAGGCTTTACCTTTAAGTTGATTCTTTTGGTAACCAATTTGAGCTCTATCCGAGGGAAACAATCCCGGTCAGGCTTCAAATGATATTCAGTTTGATTCAGGAATCCCGACATTCTTGAATATTTCCATCAAAATGCGGGGGAGGAGATAGGAAGATAGTAGGCGCCTTATGTACTATAGGTGGAGGTATATTAGGCGGAGGTGACATAGTTGGTGACAGGTTGCAGATGCGCTGTGCGAGGAAGAAGCGTACTGAAAGCCTAGGCAAATTGATCCATAAGATGGTCATTCTCCTCTAGCTTTCTCTCGCAAGCTGCTATGTGCTGACACAATTCTACAGGATCCATGGCCCTGTCATAATGTCAGGATTACTAATTGTTCCAGCATGTAGAATTGTGTCACACCTAGGACTAAAAGGTAATGTATTTAGAATGGCCGGACTTAATGCACCAAAGAATAGTCAGGATAGTAGCCGAGGTCGGGGGGGACAGAATGAGACACAACGATAAGGGAAAGCCAGAAGTCAGGGATACCAGAACACAGGGAAGTCAAAACGAAGCCAAAGTCAAATACCAGAAATAATACACTCAGGAACACACTCCCGAACCACTAGGGAAACCATGACAAGACAATGAGGAAAAGTAATTTTGAGCTTAAATAAGTGCTTTACATTTTTGATTGGCAGAGAACGCCCTTTGACCCCAAAACTTGCGCGCACGTCTCCCGCGTGTCATCATGAGCACGCCGAGCTCGTCACTAACTTGGGTGGATGTGGGGGTATAATTTGGCGTGGATCCACAGCGGCGGGTGTCCATGAACATGTTGCAAGAGTCATTTGTACAGCCGCACAGCCGCTGGGAGCATATACCGCAAGGTGAGGAGGAATATGTTATAAATCTTTGGCAAAATGCATTAATATGTATTCCTTTTATGGTTTTAATCTTTATTTTCAATACATTTTGTTATTTTTAAACATATTTGGACTTTCCTGATATTATCCATTAGCTTTTATTCAGAAGATCATGACATTATATTCCTTGGTGAGGAACATACCACCTAAACTATAGGGATTGAGCAAAACCCAATTATCTCCACTAATGAATATATCTTCTTTTATCACCTATATTTATTTTACTACAGAGAGCACTATATATATTTTTATTCTTTTATATATGGTGAATATTCCGGTGACCCTTTGCTGCTACACTCCGGTGTATTGACAAGCATACATCCTGAATACTTTAAGCTTGGGAGCTTATACCACACCAGATACCAAAACAACTATCAACTCTAAAGACTCACACACACAAGATCAAGATATTCCACAGATCCACAGGTGGGGATTATACAATCCAAGTGCATATATCTGGAGCTAATTACTAGCTCAAGAAAGGTGTAAGTGTTTTTTATTTTATTTATCTCACCAACTATCTGAAAATACTACACTATATTTCATTTGAGTACTCTCTTTTGCTTATTGAATTTTTCTGATTGGATTTTGAGGATAGTTTTCAGGCGCTGCTTCCCTTTGTCCCTTTTCAACAATAATATGTAGCTGCAGCAAGGGATTATACACTAAGCAGTTTAAACTGAAAATGTATTGTTCAGCAAATAATCCCTCACATAATTTTGTACTGCACTAATACAGTAATAGCAAGTTATTGGTTGAAAATCTGCCAACCTTGCCAATTATATTAAACATGCAATTTAACTAACTTTTGTGAGTTTTAAAGGCCCTTTGTGGTTTTATAAACATGTTTTGTTTTTTTGCATACCAAGGTGAAAATATAATTTGCACTTTCAGTAAATATTTTATTAGTAAAAATCACAGATAACAAATAAATATGCATCTAGAGGGCAGCCCATGCAATCACAATGACACCTGCAGATCAACAGCATGGCACATGCACAGCCCAGACCAGAAGGGAAACCCTTTTACTTTCTAGTATTGTTTTCTTAAATAAGGAGAGAGCTTGTCTATAATTTTGCATAGGCTTACTAATCATACAGAAATGGCCACTTTTACCTCAGCAATAATAACTTTCCATCTATCACTTAATAGCATAAATTAAAGGATCACTATATTGTCAGGAAAACAAAGCTATAGTGCCCTGAGGGTGCCCCCACCCTCAGGGTCACCCTCCCGTGGCGCTGAAGGGGTTAAAACCCCTTCAGCCACTTACCTTATTCCAGCGCTGGGCTCCCTCGGTGCTGGTGACCTCTCCCCCTGCTGACGTCAGCTCCCTCTGCCGACGTCAGGGGAGCCGCACGCGGATTCAAGCTGTCAATAGGAAAGCATTTTTCAATGCTTTCCTATGGATGCTCTGCGCGATGGAGGCATAGTATGCCTCCATCATCGCAGATGCGCCTCTAGTGGCTGTCCGGAAGACAGCCACTAGAGGCTGGCTTAACCCCTAATGTACGTTTGCATCTGAAGGGTTAAAACCTGAGGGACTTTGCCCCCAGACCACTTCATTGAGCTGAAGTGGTCTGGGTGACTATAGTGTCCCTTTAAGTCACATATGTAGATAGCCACTGCTCCTGTTGATTGTTTTCGCAGTGCACTCTGGAGGATCCCTTCACCTAAGCAAAAGAGTAGATGTGTTATATCTATGCACTCGGATATGGAGACTTCTGAATAATATTGTAAATACAAATATGTTCTTTATTAAAATTCCAATACATTTTGTCATATAGTAAAGTCCATTAAAAAACACAACAAAATATATGTGTCAGGTAGTAAAAAAAAGCTGTTCTTTTAGAGCAGCGTTGAGAAAGCATTGTGTAGACATGAAACATGTCAAGTTGTCCAGGTATGTGTTTGTCTAGGTTTTCAAGGTTACCAACTTACAGTTGTTTTGTTAACTGTTTGGAAAAAGAAGTGAATTAGTTCACTTAAGTGTGTGCTGTGCAAGTGGGCAAACAACATGCAGTGTTTCTTAAAACCAAAATGGAACCACTATACATTTATCAATAAATCAGAAGAACTCTCCAATGTGCTATCTGACAATAACACCCACAGTTAGTGAAACAATAAACAGAAAGAGGGGTCTATATTATATAAATCACAATCATAAAAAAAACTCAATATATACAACTTGTATAGTAATGTGTACAGATATTGATTGTGGAAACCCTTCAGATTATATCACAGGATAAGGACTCTCTAGAAATATCAAAATAAACTATAATGACGTATGGAACACCCAATAGAGAGATAGATAATATCCACTGAACAAAATTATAAATGCAACACTTTTGTTTTTGCCCCCATTTTTCATGAGCTGAACTCAAAGATCTAAGACTTTTTCTATGTACACAAATGGCCAATTTTTGCAAATATTGTTCACAATTCTGTCTAAATCTGTGTTAG